TAAATTATGTTAATGAGCCGCCAGTCACCGGGCGTGGCTTTGCCCAAATAAGGATTGGCACTGGGACAGACATCGGCAGCGGCCTAGCGGAGGTGACGTCACGCGCAAGAGCGCGGTGGTCGGGGTAGGTGACATGACGTCACTAGCGAGGCACACTTCCCCATTGCGTTTGACGCCGATGAGATCACGCGGCGCTGTGACGTCAGAGGGCTGGGTCAGAGTTCAAGTTTGTTGACAGAAGGGGAGCGGCAGTGACGTGGTGAGCGCTGCGCTCCGCACCGACCAGCCGAGTTCCATTCCCGCTCGTGGCCAACGCCGCCAGAGACACTTTCTGAGCCGGTCCTGAGCCTCCCCTACGTCGACTCAGCCTCAAACGAGTCCCCGGTGCGGTGTGTCAACATCGCCAGCACTGGGGAGACAAAGGCGGCCGGGCGTGGTGCTGGCCACCCACCACCCCCTCTGTGTGTGCCGTGACGACCTGCACCGGTGCTGCTACTCGCTGTGAGCAGCACTTTGTAGACGTCGTGGCTTGGCTCTCCAGCACACCGCTGGCGACATGTCACGATGACATTTTCATGAAAAGAAAATCGCCATACGAACCTCGGCCGTTTTTTGGCAAAATTGGCCCAATTTTTCATGGCTTTATTTTTCAACGAAAAGTGCATTCCTTGGTTGTGTTTATAGCCTGAGTAGCCCATATATTACGTTAAAAAGTGGGGAATTTGATGCATGAAATTTTCGAATATAAAAAAGTTCATCGGCATACTGTGCCGTTTTTAGGCTCAATAAGCCAAACTTTTGACAGCTTTATTTTTGGACGAAAGTTAATTCCTCTATTGTATTTATCCTTAGTATGCCATGTATTAGATTAAAATGCCGTTTTTGGTCAATAATGGCCAAATTTTTACAGCTTCATTTTTCAACAAAAGTGCAATCCTCGGGTGTGCTTAGCCTTAGTATCCTATATATTACGTAAAAAAAAGTGGTAAATTTCACCATGAAATTTTAAAGTAAAAAAATTAAATCGGCCAAAATTGGCCACACTTTCACAGCCTTATTTGTCGACAAAGGTTCATTGCTCCATTGTATTTAGCCTTAGTATGCTATGTATTTGATTAAAATTGGAAAATTTCACGATGAAATGTTCATGTCCCAAACAGAAAATCGACATACTAAACCTCTGCCGTTTTTGGCTAAAATTGAACGAATTTTTACAGCTGTATTTTTAAATAAAAAGTGCATTCCTCGGTTGTGTTGAGCATGATTAGCCTATAAATTACATTAAAAGTGGGAAATTTGACCATGAAATTTGAAGTAAAAAGATCAAATCGGCATACTTTACCAATGGCGTTCTTGGCCAAAATTTGCTACATTTTCATAGCTAGATTTTCCAAGAAAAAGTTAACTCCTCCATTTTGTTAAGCATTAGTATGCTCTATATTACTTTAAAAGTGGGACATTTCACGATGACATTTTCACGTCCATAAAAGGAAAATCGCCATACTAACCTAGGCCGTTTTTGGCAAAATCGATCCAATTTTTTTTAGCTTTTTTTGCAACGAAAAGTGCATTCCTTGGTTGTGTTTAGCCTGAGTAGCCCATATATTACGTTAAAAAGTGGGGAATTTCATGAATTAACTTTTCGAATATAGAAAAGTTAATCGGCATACTGTGCCGTTTTTAGGCTCAATAAGCCCAACTTTCACAGATTTATTTTCGGACGAAAGTTAATTGGCTCCATTGTATTTAGCCTTAGTATGCTATGTATTAGATTAAAAGTGGAACATTTCACGATGAAATGTTCACGACCCCAACAGAAAATCGGCATGCTAACCTCTGCCGTTTTTGGCAAAAATTGAACCAATTTTTACAGCTGTATTTTGAAACAAAAAGTGCATTCCTCGGTTGTGTTTAGACTGAGTAGCCTCTATATTACATTAAAAGTGGGAAATTTCACAATGAAATTTGAAGTAAAAAGATCAAATCGGCATACTTTACCAATGCCGTTCTTGGTCAAAATTTGCTCAATTTTCATAGCTAGATTTTTCAAGAAAAAGTGAATTCCTCCATTTTGTTAAGCATTAGTATGCTCTATATTACTTTAAAAGTGGAAAATTTCACGATTAAATTTTCACGCCCCAAAAATAAAATCAGGGATACTTACTTATGCCGGTTTTAACCAAATAAGCCAAATTTTCATAGCTTTTTTTTTCAACAAAAAGTTAATTCATCAATTGTATTTACCCTTAGTATGCTATGTATTAGATTAAAAGTGGAACATTTTATGATGAAATGTGCACGTCCCAATATAGAATATCGGCATACCGTTTTTGGCCAATAATGGACAAATATTTGCAACTTCATTTTTCAACAAAAGTGCAATCCTCGGGTGTGCTTAGCCTTAGTATCCTATATATTACGATAAAAGGTGGGAAATTTCACACCGGGTACTTCCCGCGAGTACTCTTATATAAGCACACAACTTCATCTGTCTGTGATGAACGCTGCACTTTACTTAGTTTTCATGCAGGAGGCGCTGCAAACCTACGCGCCCCCTGCATGAACGACGGAGGAGCAGGGACAGACGTTCGATCGCGTTGGAATCGATCTGCAGACGGCGGTCTTCTGGCACGGCCAGCTCTATGTCGCCTTATCTCCACCCCGCGATCCCAACCAGGAGAAAGTCCGCATCAAACCGAACCCCGGTAAGGCCATCTACTTAACGACGAAAATAATTCACGCGAAATGTTGTTTTCAATTAAGTCTTCCAGATGTAAAATGATATAATACAATTATCTAATTAAAACATAATACAATTCAAAGTTGTTTCATTTTAAAACTCCAAAATGGAGCATCGGGAGTTGGCGTGAATGCGTCGTTCATGTGCAATTTTCTTCGTGACTTTCCTGGCCGAAAGCCGTGAATGGTTGTGAGGGGCACCGCAGGCAATCAGGCTTGCTTCAACCCCATGGTTGTCAACATCCAGACGTTAATCGGCAAGGACCATTTCTTGTCCGAGTTCGCCAACATATAAGACGTCATGCAAAATTCTAATGAGTGTTGTTGTGGAGAATGTATCTACTAGATGTGCTCTGCCTTGTAACCAAATACAAATCTATACCAAAAATGCATTTCAAATAGGCTCTTAGAATTACCTCCTTGCTATGAAGCAGATCAGCAGACACAACATCTTTCATTTATCAATCTCTCCACGAAACAAATGAATGTTTTACACAAACTATAACTAGCACGGACTTCTGGGAGTGCGTCAATTATTCAGTGCAAGCCACCTGTGGACCCTTATTGGTGCACAGCGTCTCAACAGCAGCCGGGCTTGTTTCAACCGATAGTTACGGACATCCAGACGTTAATCAGCAAGGAGCATTTCTAGTCCGAGTTAGACAAAATCTACGTCAACACGTAATGCAAAATTATAATTCGTGTTGTAGAGAATGTACCTCCTCTATGTGTAACTTTTAAGTGGTTTGCCTTGTAACTGATGAATGATCCGAGTGTGCTCCTATTTCAAAGACAATGAGTTGCTCCAGAGGGAGATGCTTCCTGAAACCACAAAAGTACTCTTTGACCTGTATCACAAGAACAATGAGTCTCACCTGAGTGATCTGTACAGGTTACTCCAAAAACACACACTTTGTCCTAACATCACTTAATCAATGTTTGACCCTTGTAGACAAAATGTTACATGTACGCACACAATCGGACAAGTATTCATTCTAAATTATTGACAATAATTTTTACGAAGTTAAATTACTGCATTGAAATATGCTGCATCAGGTTACATCGTATTAACAAGATAAACAAAAAACACTGTCTGCTTAATAGTGTATGTACAACATACTATTGTGTCATTCAAAACGAGTAGGCCATTGGATGCTGTCGTCTGGGTCAAAATTGAGCAAATTCTAAACATTACCTACAAACTCCACAACTAAGATGCCACATCAACCATCGCCCCCTACTGACAGGCTCTTGTTCACATGCAGGCCGGTGCAGGGCCACCACCTTGTGCCACACAGGGGCAGCTGCTACTTGGGGATGCTCTTCGAGTGTTTGAGACGAGAAACGATACAAAACTACTAATTGCCGAGGCAATTAAGCAAGCACAATATAAATGCAATTATGATAACATAGTGAATGCTTGGGAGCTTATTGGCTCTCGCTCCTGGTTAGAGATCTACCCAACACACAGGTCCACAACGACTGGCCGCTCTTACCCTGCAGGTTGAACCTAGGAACCGAGTGTTCAACTTCACATTCTTTTCATTAAAGGCCTGTGACAAAGGTGCATCTATTGGAGCGGCATCGTCTAAGGCAGTGGTTCTTAACCTTGTTGGAGATACTGAACCCCACCAGTTTCATATGCACATTCACAGAACCCTTCTTAAATGGAAAAATAAAATTATTTTTTCAAATTCAAAACATAGGTACATGTTTTACTGGTGCACAATCATACGAGTCAGGTGTGTGTCTTAACCTCCGCCGAACCCCTGAGACTGACTCACCGAACCCTGGGGCTCGATCGAACCCAGGTTAAGAACCACTGGTCTATGGCTTACGCATCTCCCGGGTCTCCATTTGACTTTGTATTGTCTCGGAGGAAGTCCACCCACACCTCCACTTCCACAAACTGCTGGGAGTTGCCTCGCTCTGCCTCACAGTCAGAATTCTCCTCCTGCTTCACGTTGCCTCCATCGATGTGAAAGTCCGATTTTGGAATTGAATCTTCATCTTCACATTTTACCTTCACTTCTTCGCTCTTCACCATCACTTCTTCACATTTCACCTTCACCTCTTCAAATTTCACCTCGATACCTTTAAAAGTTTCCAAGCTGGGATTTTCTTCCGGTTCTTGTTTCATGAGAGATGGGCTCATTGAGGCACTTTGACTTTCACAAGCTGATATCAGACTCCGCTCCTTGTGGATATTATGATGCTTGTGTGTTCTCTGGTGTTTTTTAAGAGTCGATGAACTTGCAAACGCCTTCCCACACACACTGCACTTCCAGGGTTTCTCTCCCGTGTGTGTTCTCTGGTGTGCTACAAGAGCAGATGACATTGCAAACGCCTTCCCACACACACTGCACTTGAAGGGTTTCTCTCCAGAGTGTGTTCTCTGGTGTGCTACAAGAGCAGATAACTGTGCAAACGCCTTCACACACACACTGCGTTTGAAGGGTTTTTCTCCCGTGTGTGTTCTCTTGTGTGTTGCAAGAGTAGATGAAAGTGCAAACGCCTTCCCACACACACTGCACTTGAAGGGTTCCTCTCCCGTGTGTGTTCTCTGGTGTTTTGCACGATGAGATGAATCTAAAAACGCCTTCCCACACACACTGCACTTGAAGGGTTTTTCTCCCGTGTGTGTTCTCTGGTGTTTTACAAGAGTAGATGAATGTGAAAATGCCTTCCCACACACACTGCACTTGAAGGGTTTTTCTCCCGTGTGTGTTCTCTGGTGTTTTACAAGAGTAGATGAAAGTGCAAACGCCTTCCCACACACACTGCACTTGAAGGGTTTCTCTCCCGTGTGTGTTCTCTGGTGTGTTACAAGAGTAGATGACTTTGTAAACGCCTTCCCACACACACTGCACTTGAATGGTTTCTCTCCCGTGTGTGTTCTCTGGTGTTCTACAAGAACATATGACTGTGCAAACGCCTTCCCACACACACTGCACTTGAAGGGTTTTTCTCCCGTGTGTGTTCTCTGGTGTGTTGCAAGAGTAGATGAAAGTGCAAACGCCTTCCGACATACACTGCACTTGAAGGGTTTCTCTCCCGTGTGTGTTCTCTGGTGTTTTACAAGATGAGCTGAATCTGAAAACGCCTTCCCACACACACTGCACTTGCAGGGTTTCTCTCCCGTGTGTGTTCTCTGGTGTTCTACAAGAGTAGATGACTTTGCAAACGCCTTCCCACACACACTGCACTTGAAGGGTTTCTCTCCCGTGTGTGTTCTCTGGTGTACTACAAGAGCAGATGACTTTGCAAACGCCTTCCCACATACACTGCACTTGAAGGGTTTCTCTCCCGTGTGTGTTCTCTGGTGTGTTACAAGAGTAGATGAATCTGAAAACGCCTTCCCACACACACTGCACTTGCAGGGTTTCTCTCCCGTGTGTGTTCTCTGGTGTGTTACAAGAGTAGATGACCGTGCAAACGCCCTCCCACACACACTGCACTTGAAGGGTTTCTCTCCCGTGTGTGTTCTCTGGTGCCGTGTCAAATGTTCAGGACAATTCGTGCTGTATGAACACCGGTCGCATTGTTGCCTTGTCGCACCGAGCTGCGCCGAGTGCCTTTGCTCCATCAGACCAATTCTGCAGAGGAAAGTACAGAGGAAGCGTCAGTTGCAGACAGAAAAAAAAATATCTACACGTCAGTATCGATGCACAGAGGAATGCATATACACAGTCACACGTGACTTACACGTCAATACTTATTTATATATTCATGATATAGTGAAAAAGCTTCCCAAATTCATCACGCGGGCTGTTATGGCACACAATGAGAGGGCAAATGGTCACAAATTTCGGCTGTCTGGCTACAAAAGGAATATTTATGAAAGCTAAATTCAGTTGACATAGCAAAAGGTGTTGAAAATAATACTATTTGTGTTGTGCAGAAATTCATAAATTCATGCTCAATCGCAACTTAGATGTGTGTTGTATATATAGACCTTTTCCAAAAATATATATTGAGAATAATTCGACCCATTTTTTTCCTTAAATAATTAATAAATGAAACCAACACTCAACTCCGCTACCCCTCAAACCACACCAAGCATCTGGAGGTCATTAAACAACAAACTTCGGGGCAAAGAGGGGTTCGCGACTATCTGGAAATCTCCAGGCTGGCAGATGACCATATGACATGACCTCCCCGGACGTTTTGGACAGTTCACAAACAAATCTCCAGAGCACATAGCAGAGACAAACGGACGTTACAACTCGCATTTTCTTTAACGGCAAAAGTTTGAAACTCGTCAAAAAGAACAAATCGACGTTATAGACTGCAGTCTATATGAGCGGCTTTATACTGGTAGGAACGAAGTGGACCAGACACCAATAGATTATATCATCCGTCCGTTTGTCCATTTGTCCGTCCGTCCGTCCGTGTAGCAACATCGCCCCCTACTGCAAACACTTGGCATGACCCTACAAAAACCTTGAGACTCAGTGACGCTATCCTGGCTAAACAAGTGTAACATTCCCTTATAATTCCCTCAGATAGCTTTTAATTAAAACATTTAAATTAATGAGGCTTTCCTGGCTAAACACGTGTAACATTCCTTATAATTCCCTGAGATAGCTTTTAATTAAAACTTTGAAATTAAATTAAAAAACTCACAGCGCCCTAAAGCCTACAGCTAGGCCTAAAGCCTAGAACTAGGCCTGAAACTCTCCCTTCGTATCGTACCCCCGCGTGTGTGAAAGGGAGTTAATGTTTCACAATGTTACATTCCCTGATTTTTTAAAATAGAAACATTTAAATTTCAAGCTTTTACATTAATAATTAAAACATTTAAATTAAATATTAACTCACAGCGACCTAAAGCCTACAGCTAGGCCTAAAGCCTAGAAATAGGCCTCAAAGTCTCCCTTCGTATCGTCCGATTAGGTGTAGCAACATCGCCCCCTACTGCAAACACTTGGCAGGACCCTACAAAAACCTCCAGTGGGGCTTTCCTGGCTAAACAAGTGTAATAATACATTATGTTTATATTCTTTGATATTCGTTCCTACCAGCCCACCCCGCAGGGTCCTGTTTATTATTTATTTTATTTCACCCTTATTCAACTCGTATATCATTTTGTATTGTATCTTTCTATCCATGTAACTTCACCAAGAGAACCAAGGAATGTGCATTCTGGTAGACAAGAAAGTGAGCGCTTGGTTATATCTCCAGCCTCGGGATATCAAAATATAACTCAAAATAAAACACCGATCCCTGGTGACACAGACTTACAACAAAGCTTGGCAAAACCCTCGGAATAATGGTAACAACGAGGGGCATTACGAATCTTGGTTCTTGGTTAAACATGAACCAAATAATAACCACGAGATATTAGACCCGGGGTAACTCATAAGAGGTACAAGAAATAGGTCCAACACACACAAGACCGGATAATATGTATTCCATGGAATCAAAGCCTCCCCGGCCACCTTTGTCTTCCAACAATTTGACACAAACACATGGCAGCCACAATTACGTATGAAGGGTGTCTGGCCTTGAGCTAACAAACACAACGAAGGGGGGGGGGATGCCAACAAGCATAAACTTAGACGGAAAACAGCCCATCCGGGGTCATCAAGGGAAGGGGGGGGGCATTCAGGCGCGGCCGCGGAGAGAGGACGGTGACAGAGGGCATCTGTTTTTTTTCTCTCGCAAGAGACGCACAGAGAGGGGAGGGAATTTCAGATATAACCAACGACACAGATCATGCAATTCAGTCTTGCAAAGGGGCAAACTCCGGGGCATGGCCTCGAGATCAACCATGGGTGTCGTGTCTCGTGGAGCGAAGGGACGATGTGTTGTTAAGAGCTGAGTTCGGTATGAACTGACAGAGTATCGCTGAAAGTTTATTCTACATTCATCCTGATGTTTTGAGTCGCTTGTGGAATCGAGGGTTTGCGATAAGTTGTATTGTACCAAGCTATCAGAGTTGCGTAAGAGGTGTGCTAATACAATTTACAAGTTTTGAGAGTAAGTGATCCAGCCAGCGACGAGCAGCTCACAGCAGCAGCCCTCTTAGAAGAAGGGTGGAGAGCACGAAAGTTGAGCAACGACAAGGCGAAGCCCCGAAGTGAGGGCGGGAGAGGTAACACAATGCCAGTGCAAAACTGGCAGCTGCACGCCAAGGGCGAAAGCAAGGAGAGAGAAAGGAGAGAGCACGGAGCAGTGGAAAGAGCCTGAGCCAGCGCAAGCCCTGAAGTAAGGGCAGGTGTCCGTGTGAAGCTGGCAGCTGCACGATCAAGGAGAGAGCACGGAGCAGTGGAAAGAGCCTGACCAGCCGCCCATGAGCAAGAGTGTCAGCGCCAGCGAGAGCGCCGTGGGTTCGACCCACATACACACCGACCAGCACCAGCTGGGAACCAATGCCAGAGTGAGGAGCGGCGACCATCAGACAAGCTGCGCGCGCTATCTGATGACGGAATCATCGCACACCGCCGACGGCGAGCATCACGCCAACTCAACCAGCAGTGAAGAGAGCTGCAACGCCAAGAGGAAGAGTGCCGTGTGTTTAATACACACACACACGTACACACAGCTACACACACACACAGCTACACACACACACGTACACACAGCTACACACACACACGTACACACACGTACACACAGCCACACACACACACAGCTACACAGCTACACACACAGCTACACACACACACAGCTACACAGCTACACACACACACAGCTACACACGTACACACAGCTACACACGTACACACAGCTACACACGTACACACAGCTACACACACACACACGAACACACACACACACGAACACACAGCTACACACACACACACGTACACACAGCTACACACACACACGTACACACAGCTACACACACACACGTACACACAGCTACACACACACACACGTACACACAGCTACACACACACACACGTACACACAGCTACACACACACACACGTACACACAGCTACACACACACACACGTACACACAGCTACACACACACACACGTACACACAGCTACACACACACGTACACACAGCTACACACACACACACGTACACACAGCTACACACACACACACGTACACACAGCTACACACACACACACGTACACACAGCTACACACACACACACGTACACACAGCTACACACACACACGTACACACAGCTACACACACACACGTACACACAGCTACACACACAGCTACACACACACACGTACACACAGCTACACGTACACTCAGCTACAAAGATCCCGTATAGCCTTAACAGACTGTAGGGTCAAGTGCTGTTAGCGAGCACCTATGAAGGCCAGAACGGCACACGAGGGGGTGGGTGGCCAGCACCACGCCCGACCGCCTTTGTCTCCCCAGTGGCGACGTTTACACACCGCACCAGGTACTCATTTAAGGCTGAGTCGACCTAGGGGAGGCCCAGGACCGGTTCAGATAATCGTCACTGGTGTTGGCCGTGAGCGGGAATCGAACCCGGGTCGCCAGGTTCATAGCGCAGCGCGCTAACCGCTACACTATTGCTCCCCACAGCTACACACACACACGTACACTCAGCTACACACACACACAGCTAAACACACACACACATACACACAGCTACACACACACACGTACACTCAGCTATACACACACACACACGTACACACAGCTACACACACACACGTACACTCAGCTATACACACACACACTCAGCTACACACACACACGTACACACAGCTACACACACGTACACTCACTACACAACACACACGTACACACAGCTACACACACACACACGTACACACAGCTACACACACACACGTACACTCAGCTACACACACACACACACACGTACACACAGCTACACACACACACACACAGCTAAACACACACACACATACACACAGCTACACACACACACGTACACTCAGCTATACACACACACACACAGGTACACACAGCTACACACACACACACTCAGCTACACACACACACACTTAGCTACACACACACACGTACACACAGCTACACACACACACGTACACACAGCTACACACACACACGTACACACAGCTACACACACAGCTACACACACACACGTACACACAGCTACACGTACACTCAGCTACAAAGATCCCCGTATAGCCTTAACAGACTGTAGGGTCAAGTGCTGTTAGCGAGCACCTATGAAGGCCAGAACGGCACACGAGGGGGTGGGTGGCCAGCACCACGCCCGACCGCCTTTGTCTCCCCAGTGGCGACGTTTACACACCGCACCAGGTACTCATTTAAGGCTGAGTCGACCTAGGGGAGGCCCAGGACCGGTTCAGATAATCGTCACTGGTGTTGGCCGTGAGCGGGAATCGAACCCGGGTCGCCAGGTTCATAGCGCAGCGCGCTAACCGCTACACTATTGCTCCCCACAGCTACACACACACACGTACACTCAGCTACACACACACACAGCTAAACACACACACACATACACACAGCTACACACACACACGTACACTCAGCTATACACACACACACACGTACACACAGCTACACACACACACGTACACTCAGCTATACACACACACACTCAGCTACACACACACACGTACACACAGCTACACACACAC